TTGTTAAGTTTTTAGTTGAATGTGGTGAGTGATGACACCACAAAAAAGGGTTGGGTTTCCTTTTTTTCTGCTTAAGAAAAGGACATTGTAGTAAGAGCCCTTTCTCACTGAAATCATTTCCACTATATGTATGTAGATACTTTGTTACACTCTTACATTCAACAGGTCAGTGGATTTTTCTTAAGGGAGGAGTTGGACATGTTGGGAAATAAACCTTTGCTTCATTACTGAGAGTTAGATGAGAAAATTGATACGACTCTCATGTCTGTCCAGTAAATCTGAAGCTGGAGCCAGCAGATGGTTAGCTTAGCCTAGCATGAAGACCAGACTCAGGGGGAAACAGCTAGCCGGGCACCGTCCAAATTTAAAAACCCATACGTTACGTTTAGTTTTTTGTACAGATTAGACAAATTAATTCCGTGTTAATTTGTGAGCTTTAGAGCTGCTGGTAGGTAGATTCTTTTGGACGAAGCCAGTTGTTTCTTCCTGCTTCATGCTGACGTAGTGTAACAACCTGCGAGCTCTAGCTTCATATTTAGCGTACAAACATGAGATTGGTGTTCTCGTCTCTCCCTCTCCACAAGAAAAATTTCAACTGTTCTTTTGAATCTCTCTCATTCTGATCATATAATAGTAAATCATGTAATCAATGATTAGACTACAGAATTGGCAGTTGCAGCTATTTTGAGCTTTAAAAGACACACTGTACAGAGCAGCTCCACGCAGGGCTCCGGTTGAGTCGACAGACATATGGGAGAGTGTACTGTCACACTAAAGACTGCACTACCAGCTGATTCATTTTCATTTCTTTATTTCTTTTCTTTTTGTTACTTGAAAAATCTAAAGAGAATCATAACCACCAATCTGGATCATGAGATAACACGTAGGCCTGTGTGGCAGATTTCCTGATTTCTTGTTGTGCGTTGTCACCTGACATTTGGCTAAATATTTTGTACCACTTTCCTGTCTCTCTACATCCAGTCTAACTGCAGTAATCGGTATTCATTGGTAATGGAAAAAGCCCTGTAGTCATACATGTTTATCAAAGTGCAAATATTGCCAACTCTGTGTTCTGGTTTGTTTTGCTCAAGTGTCGCTGGTCCGTTTTAGCACTATTTTGTTTCAGATTTGAATGTCAGCGGTGCATTGCTGCCTATTACATGTACATACAAATTTTACATAAATATGGAAAACTGAATGGTGTCTCTTATATTCTTTAGTTTTCTTTCATGGATTTACAGAGATATGGCAATGCTTGTTGTTTGGTCAATCTACTTCTGTCCAGTGAAGTATCTCATCAACTACAGGATGGATTGCCATGAAATTTGTTACAGACTTTTATGGCTAATGAAAACTAGTGACATTCCCATCAGCCTCAGTTGTGTCAGTAAGATGGTAACAGTGACAGTTAACAGTAACATGCAAATCTGCAGAGAATCCAAAATATTCAGTAAATAGGGATTGTCATACATGCCCAACATAAAATGTTAACATTGTCACTGTAAACATGTTAGCCAGCTGACAATAGCATCTAGCTCAAAGCAACACTGTACCTAAGTACAGCTTCAGAGAGCCACCCATGCAAGGCTGGATTACCAACAAGGCAAAATGGGCCACTGCCACAATGGCCATTGGGAGCCTCTGGCTTCCAGAGGGCCACGGTTGCGGAGCAATGACTTTGAAGTGATTTAATAATTACAAATGTGCTAAATGGTACATGGACTGCATTCAGCAGTTTTCTACCTTAACAAGTTCAAGTTATTTTATTGTCATGTACACAACAGTTAATTGTGCTCTATAAATATGTATAAAGAAAAATCACTAAGTGGAATACAATCTAATTAGAATCTAAGACATAAAATAGTGCAGCAGCTGAAATATAGGAATATAACATAAAATAAGATTTAAGTTAAATATAATGTGGTAGCCTAGTGAGTTATAGTAAAATATATATAATAATAAATTATAAATAAATAATAATATATATAAATAACTGTAACTGTGCAGTACTGCAGTATACATAATGAGAACGGAGATAGATAAATATATACTGCGCTGGACAAACAGCTTATAAACAGGTAGTAAGAGGATGTGGATGTGAGGATGCTCTCAATGGTGCCCCTGTAGAAGCAGCAGACCATGCTGCAGTCCTCATTGAGCCCGTAGAAATAATCTCCACATCTGAGCACCACCAGCTGTGGGTCATGAGGCAGACACTTCCACACTTGCTCCTCCCTGATTGTACTGTCCGATCCTGGCGGTGAATGGAGAGTCTGTCTGGAACAATGGAAGAGTCCTGGAGCCAAGACTCCTTGAAAACCACACCGTTACAATTCTTTGTTTCAGGTTAAAAAAGCCACCCTGCTTCTGAGTTCATCCAGTTTATTTTCCAGTGACTCAGCATTTTTCTAGAAGACTACTTTGTAGGTTTACTTAGTAGTACATTTTGTTTGTCTTGTCCATTTTCCACGTACAGCAACAGGTAATCAAAGTCATAGATGTTCCTTACTATAATATAAAATAACTGACATATAGCAAAACCTGTGTGGCTTTTTGGACATCCCATAACAGATGATTCAGTCTCTCGAAAGCTTCCTGCACTACGGAATATTTTTATATCACATTTAGTTGTAATATAATTTCAATGGTAGTAATTAAATGAACATAGGAATTATCACCAGGGTCTGAACGAATGAATAAACCACCGTTTCGGTCTTTGCACGTGATGTATCATGCTGTTAAAACATATGAGTATGAAGTAGTCCATGAGTTCAAAAAGTTAGGCATCATAACAGACATCATTAGGCATTCAAAACAAGTAAAAAAAAAGTTGTGAACAGATTGAAATTCAACGCCATGATCCTCTCACACATGAACTACTGTTCGACTAGCGGGACACAGCAAGATCACATTACAGTGGGTAGATAAACTGTAAAAGCAGGCTTTGAAAACGTTGGATAAAAAGTGAAATTCATATGATCATTGTAAAATTTGATGTATGTTTTTTTTAAACTGGGGAAACATGATCAAATTTGCAGATATCTTACTTATGTATAAAATGTTCCGTGGCTTTTGTATGTTTTCCTGTCTTTTATGTGTCACATGGTAATGACATATAGGACATCAGTATGGCCACTGTGTTACAATTGTTTGTGCTTCTGTGATTGATCTGTGTTTATGTGTTCTGTGCTTTTGAGTTTCGGGGCGTATGTGCTCTGTGTTTATGTGATTTTATCAGTGCTTATGTGCTTTTGTATTTTCTCTTTTAATGTTTCTGATATGCCATCAACCTGCCAGGAACTGCCGATGAAAATGAGCCTGTATGGCTAAATCTGGCACGTTTACATAGTGGATAGTCCTCATGTTAGTTAATGTGCATTGTCCCTTTAAAAAAAAAAAACAATTTCAAACTTCAAGTGCTAAAACAGCCAGATTCTGCTTTGACAATAATGTCAAACTGAGAGCCCTTTTAGTTAGCCGTGCCAAACCAGTGTTTTCACGCTTTTTGGAAAGATAAATAATCACGTTGCCAGATCTCCACACCGAACGATCTCTCACGCACGCATGTTTTTATTCCCCCCAATCTCTCTGATGATGCTAAATTCTTGTCTGGTGTCTTTTTATTCAGGTTCATTGTGGTTTCACAGGCTGTTGGTGTCTCGGTATGTGGTGTGTAAACGCTAATCCTGAGATATACATCATTGACAGCACATGCTGATAGTGAACTTTAATGCTTTCTTAACCAAAAAGCAGCACCATCTAATCAACTGTCAAACTTAAAAGATTTGTTTTCACAAAGTCTGTGCTGAGGGATATGGTCTCGACACTGAACAGCCACGACTTTCCCATGCTATTTCATTTGATTCATGAACAGTAACACACAGATATGAACAAAATCCAAAGCACTGGCAGAGGCAGCTTGTATTTGTGTAGATTTGAGTAACTCGATGATGAATGTTTTAATGTAAATACTTTTATGAGGTGAAATCTATCATGTCAGTACGACATGGGTAAACAACAAAACATGAAACCAGTCTGTCAATAAAAAGGCTTGTTAAAAACCAGGAAGTATCAAATGGACCAACGTCTTGGCCATCTGGTTCCAGTAATGGCTTTGGTATTGGAAAATATATCTCAGATGTGGACTTTGCTTTCTAATCATTACTTCAGCTGCCTTCAAAAGAGCCCCAGAAAACCCGGGGCCAAGATCCAGCTTTGTCCTATTAAGAGATGATCTGCAAAAAACATCCTGTTGGATTTGTCGTCTCACTGAAAACCTCAAATTGACAAAGTTGATGAAGTACTATTTTGATTGGTTCCTCGTCAGAGGCTAGGAAAGTATTCAATTATCCCTCCAGTATTAATACCATAGACTTGATTTCAGTCTGTGTGTTAACACGCTACTAAGTTAAAAATTGGAATGTCTGACTGGCTGACTCAGTTATATACACCAGGACCTGTGTAAATACCTTCAGCCCGATGAAAACCTGCACACTAAAATGCTAAGCGCCGAAAAATGTATTATTTTTAGGCGTGGATTGACAAAAAAAAAAAAACAGAATCCAATACAACAACCAACCATATAGAGTATATAATTAGTGGACAGAGCTTCAGCCTAACATGGAAATGTCTTAAACTTGCAATATTTCTAATGGCCAGCAGGGGGTAGCTCCATGACTTCACACTTGATTTATGAGCTCAGTAAACAGTTTCCTAAAAAGTTTAAGGTCTCAATCTCTAGTTTCAAGTCTTCTTTCATACAGCACAATGTTCATTATGTAAATTATTGTCCATTTAGAGTAAAATAGACAATAAAGCAGGGTATGCTCTGTATGTGTGACTAGTCGCTGCTTCAGAAAAGTACTCCGCAAACCAGTGGGTGACATCACAATAT